AGCCAGAGGTGAAAGTGGAGAGGTGCCCGGGGAGTCAGATGTCCAGCATGTTGTAGTGTGTCAGAATTCCAATGTCTATATTGAGTCCATGAGTTTCTATATCTAGGACGTTGATGAAGTTCAGTTCATAGGCTCATCTGTGAAAAGTGGTTTGTAAACTCAAGCACTCAACCTCGCTAACCTCATCACCAGAAGCCAACTTCCTATAGCCCCAAACACACCAAATGGATCCAGGTCATGCCATGACAAGACATGCAAAACCTGCCAACAGTATTTCCAGTATGGAGAGATCTTCATAATACAATACAGATCTACATCAGGGCACTTGGTGAAAATACATAGGAGACACCAAGCAACAACTGCGCACCAGAATGAGTGCACACTGAAAATCTGTCAAAGACGAGAACACCACCTGTCTCCAATCTCTCAGGCCTGATCTTCAGAGTGAATTTACAAACCACTTTTCACAGATGAGCCTATGCATTGCACTTCATTAACCTCCTACGTACAGAAACTCATGGACTCAATATAGACATTGGAATTCTGACACATTACAACATGCTGGACATTTGACTCCCCAGGTACCTCTCCACTTTCACCTGCGCTGCTACATCACCCTTCTCCCCCCATCCCAGCCCTGTGCCTCACAACCTGACACCTCCATTTCCATCTTCACTGACTGGTTTTCTTGCCTGCATTGCATGCCAGCCTTTGGCTTCTTTACTATTCCTTCCATGAAGAAACAGCACAAACACCAACTGCAGGTGCTTCCTTGGCCTGACAAAGGGTTTTTCAACCCAAAAGCTGGCATCTGAGTTAACTAAGCTGAGCTTACCTGGGGCCTCAAAACTCCACTGCAACCAGCAAGCCTCAGGCCTGTCAAAAACGTGGGAGGTCTAGGCTTCCCCCAGCCAGGACTGTGTGCATGTGTGTGGTGGCTGGAGGTTATGGCACCTCCTACCCGCCTTTCCCCATCCAGTACTGTGTGTGTGCATGTGCTGGCTGGAGGTTATGGCACCTCCTACCCATTTTTCAACCTGAGGGAGATCCTTGGTCCTGGCATTTCCTGGGGCTGCCGCGCTTCTGGCAGTCCCACCAGGCCTCCTGACCCTGGCAGAGTACAGTTTTAGTGGTCATGCCCAGGACCTGGGGCTACCTCCTTCCCCATAGCCCCAATCCATATCTCCAAGTTCATTCTGACACAGTAGCTCAGCAGGGACATGTTCTTCCCCTGATGGCTGGTGATGTAGTGAGTGCTGCCTCTAGCTCTGAGAGCAGGGCATTAAATGAGTGAGAAGGGTGGCACTCACTGCGTCGGCATCTGGAGCTTGGGGAATTCCAGCAGTGGGAGGTTCACCTTGAGGAACACCAGCTGTTCCACCAAGCCAGGATCCAAGCAGGTGCGGTGGGGTGTCACTACATCCCCAGAAATCCTGAGCACTCTCTTGCTTGGAACACTGGTTGGTGGACAGGACAGGTGTTTCTGGGCAATCGTGGTGAGATCCAGCCACATCTGGCTGTGGGTTGCCCAGTAGGCCAAGGGGTTGCACAGCAGTGGCTCCACGTCTTCAGTGAGATAGGCAGCCACCAAGGGCTGAGCCCTACCTGCCTGATGGTAGGGTCTGGTGCTTCTGGACTCCACCATGGAAGCCATGCCCTTGGCCCACATTGGCAGCACCTGTGGTGGAGGAGGAGACTGGCTGATGGATACCATGGGACAGTGGATCCCCCTCTTCCATGTCCCCCCCTCTGTCCTTCTGTCTCCCTGACTCTTCACCAGCAACTCTGTCCACTGATCCAGGTTTTTGCTGCCACATATGCTGATGATCTCCTTCACCCTTGAGTCACGTGGTGGCCAGCATGTGGACTGTACTGGACCGCAGGGGATCAAGACGTTTCCTGATGCCCTCCTTCAGCAGCCTCACCAGTGCCTGCATGTCTGGTGACAGCGGCTTGCCCCAGCTAGGAACATTGATCCCCTGGAACTTCTCCATTTGGTTCTGAAGTTCCTTCATTACAGGGATCAGCTGGCTAAGGAGGGCATCGCCAGTGCTGAGGCTCTCGGTGGCCTCGAGGAAGGGCTTGAGGACCACCAAGATCTAGGAGATGGTATCTCACTCAGTGCTGTTAAGGGGGCCGCTGAGCCCAATCTCCCTAAGCAAGGCCATCTCATGGATGGTATTCTGTTGCTCCACCAGCCTCTTGAGCATCAGGTAGGTGGAGTTCCACTGAGTCTCTGCATCCTGCATGATTTTATGCTGTGGGATGTTCAGCTCTGCACCTTGCCCCCCTTGATGCTCTAGTGGAAGTAGCCTGCCACCGTCTGGTATTTGGAAATGAGCTTGCTGGTGGTGCTGGCGCCATCACTGGCAGCCCTGTCCCTCTCCAAGATGTCCCCGACAATGAGGTGCAACTTGTGTGCCACACAGTGGATGCCAATAAAGTTGGCATCTCTGATCACCTTGACCATATTGGCCTCACTGTCGGTGACCATAAACCCACGGGTGAGCTCACCCTGCCCAACAAGCCACCCCTGCGCCAAATGGTTCATGGCCGCCATGATCTCTGTTGCCATGTGGGACTTATCTGTCACCTTGGCTTGAAGGAGAGCCCACCAATGGCCTGACTGGTCACACTAGTGCCCTGTGAGGGAGAGGTATGCATGAACTCCACCCCAGCTGCTCCAGATGTCCGAGGTGAAGTATAAGGCCACCTGTGGACCTGCCTTGCACAGCTCCTCTCTCAATTACTCCCTGCATACCTCATACAAGGAGGGCACCACCATCCTGCTGAAGGTGGTGCATGCAGACACTCGGTAGGATGGTACCATTAGCCTCCTGGACCCTGGCCTCTCAACTAAGGAGAAGGGCTGGCCATCTACAGCAAACATTTTGCCAATGCTCTGAGCTTGCTCACCTTTTCAATGTGCCCCCCTTTCTGTGTGCCTTTCCCCCATTGTTCCTGGGTGGCCTGCCCCTGCTTCAGGGGGACGGGGGTTTTGGAGCGAGAGGGGGACTTCTTTTTGGGCATGCTCCCACTGGTGCCAGGTTGAGGAGGAGCAAGGGCAAGGGGATGGTGCCTGTAGAGATGCATCAGTATCCCTGTGGTGCTTATGTTTTGTTCCCTTGCCCTGGCTGATTTTGGCTCGGCAGTGCAGGCAGATAGCATATGTGGGATCAACTGCCAGCTCAAAATGATCCCAGACCACATTACCCACTCACTTCTGGGGTGCAGGTACATGTGTGGATGCTGCCTTTTCCCCTTCCTCAGCAGGCAGAAGCACAGCAACAGGAGGAGCGGACTCAGCTGAGCCACTTGCCTCCACAACCTCTACGTCAGTTTCCTCTGAAGTGCCTTCTGGGAAATGAGACCTGGCTCTATGGGAAACTTGAGGGGTGTGGAGCACAAACTCAGATAATTTCCCCTCCTTCCCCAGTATTTCCCTGCTATGGCACTCAAATCTAGTTCCAGCTCCAGCTCTTCCTCGGACACTGGAAGGTTCAGCATGGGAAGTGAAATGGGAGTGGAGGATACTGTCATGCTGGTGCTGCTGCTTGTTGTCATGGTGGTGGTGGTGGGGTTATGGCTGGTGTTCTTGGAGGGGATGCAGACTCAGGCACAGGCAGTGGCACTGCTCCCCTCTCCTTGCTGCCTGTAGAACTGGAAGCCTCATGCTTGCTTGTTGTAAGAAAGAGGCTGTGTCTCAGTTTTGGGGGGGGATGGGGACGGGGGATGGACTTACACCTCTCCCTCTACCCCATCTTCCGCCCCTCCTTGAAGGCTTGCCAGCTGCCTTTCCAGCTTCATGGTGTGTTTCATAGTGTCTTTGCCTTGGTGTGCTGGAAAATCTGTGTGTTCTCCTGTAATGTAATCTGATTTATGTAATATATGTAGATAAGATAATTGTATGTATGTGCATTTATGCAATGTATGTATGTACTTATGTCTTTATGTAATAAATAAAATATATAAATGTATATAGTATGTGTTCCTGAATAAATTCTACATTATAATATGCAATATATGCTGTACTTCCCTGCACAGTGAATGGAATGCACACTGAGAAAAAGCACAGATTTCTTTTCTGGGGAAAAAGAATCAAAATAGACTAAAAAAACCCAAAAAGAGGATATTTGCTGGAGGAATAAATTGAAAGGAATGAATGAATATAATAATAAAATGAAAGGTTATAGAAAGCAAAAGGTATTGAATCCCACTTACTAGGAACAGGCTAGCAAGTAGGAAATGAATGATAGCTTTTGTCTGACGATGCTGAGCTGCTGGAAGACACAGCTCAGTAACTGACCCCAAGGCAGAAAGTAGCTCAGTTCAAACAATGCTGCTTTTTATGCTGTTTTTCCATCCCTCCCTCAGAGCACTGGGATTGGAAGGGACCTCAGGGAAGGATGACAGTTATTGGCTAGCTACACAGTCAATATCAGAGAATTTCTTCCCCCTCCCTCTCTCTAGTTTCTGTTTCCCTGCAAGCAAGCGCAGCTTCGAAACTTGAAATGTTTAGAAACTTTAGAAATTTTTTGACTGGCTTCGTTTCATTTTGAGGCTTTTGTTTCATTTTGCTTTCACTGATTTGAGTTTGAAATGAGTTGAAACAGTGTTGAAATGAAACACCCGGTGAAATCTCACACAGTCCTACTAAATATCCCCATACTGAGATGATTTGTGTGTGCATATCAGTTTTATAGTTTGAAATTTCTAAAGACTTTGGTAGGAAGATTAAAGAATTACTATCAAGTTAAATTAGTTTCCAAGTTTTGGTTTTACAAATACTACCCAATAGAAATAGTTCCATTTGTTATATATAAAATTTGAAGTTAGCTGGAGCTGATGTCATTTATCATCTCTGAAAATCAAATCCTGTTGCTTTACCAAAATGTTTCTTTCTTATAATTGTATGTGATGTTATAGACTTTTGTATTTTATTCAGTCATTTTCCTTTTTTCTAAGTGCAAATATATTCATCAATTCACTTTATGTTCTAGGATCCCACAGACTTTGAATGGAGTTTCTGGATGGAATGGGGAAAGGGATGTATACTGTGGCTTCTGTTTGGCCATCTAGCAGTATCACAGATATCCAGACTCTTCCTGGAAAAGGTATGAATGCATCTATTTTACAGCAGCACACCTTTTTTTAAAAAAAGTTGGAAATTAGGAAAGCAATCCATTTTTATTACTTACTGTTGTAAAGTGTGTTCTGAAGAATGCAAGGTTCTGACAAATTGGATCTAGAAGGTCTAGGTGTTGAACACTGAACTCTTAATTAATCAAATGAGGGCATTACTCCTCTCAGAATTCAGTACAGGAAAAGGATTTTTAAGGTGGTGGGCGACTGTAATGGTTAGTACAAATAGACTCCTCAGTTAACTCATAACCACAAGAATGTATTAATATTAACAAACAACAGGAATAATTACAAAGATTATATACAATGGAGAGAGCAAGAGCGAGAGAGAGAACTCCTTTTATCAAGGGAATGGGTGATAGGTTACCATATGAGTAATGGCCAACCAGTCCTGGTCTACAGTCAAATCCCAAAGTGATCACCAGGGAGCCTTGCTCTACACAGGATACACACAACTCCAATCGCTCTGCAGACACTAAACACACTCACAAAACACCCTTAATTTTGCAGTGTCAAACTCACTAGACTCCTCGAGTCACACATGAACACACCCAAAACCAAACACACACAAGTCACGCTTACTCGAACCCTTAGAGACACCCCCCCCCCCAGAGTGGAACTGACGCTCTTTTAAATGTCAAAATGACACCCCATTCACAGTCCAATCATATCTCTAGGGCACGTGTCACTCAACCGCTTATCCAGCTGGTGCATCTGTCAATCAGCACATTGAAACAAACTTACCACTCTTCGCACTTCAGACCAATCATTGTCCACTTTGCCTCAGGAGATGGTGGTCACCTTTTTGGCACCAACATTTCTGTTACCAGGTCTTCACTGCGCCTGCTTAATGTATGGAATTAGGGCAGTCCCTCCTTTAGGGTTGCCAACCCTCCTGGATTGGCTGTGAGTCTACAGGAATTGGCATTGATCTCCCAGTGACTACTGAAAGCAGTCCAGGAGATTTTAATAGGATATTTTAAGAAAATAAATTAATATAATGTATGCATATAATTCATACAGAAGTTCATTCATTGTTAAAACATAACAGTGTCATCTGATTGTGATTTTCTTTCCCAGTACAATGAATGACATTGTCATGTTGGAAAAAAAAAATCTCCTGGAATAGCTTCAATCAGAGTTGGCAACCCTACCCTCCTTAGGGGTAGAAAGTTCCTGGTTCTCAAACCTTCAGAACCTTCTCTCACTGTGCATGTGCAGGTCTCAAACTTTTTAACAGGCCATCGCTCTTGGATAGGCCAGGGGATGTAGCAGCTCCACGAACTCTACATAAGGACAGATGAGGGAATAGTTCCCTTTATAGCAATAGGCAGCAGTGGTTCTCAGCTGTTTCAAAGTCAGGGCACCCTTTCACCACTTTTTTTAATGTGTCAGTATCCCTGGTGGAGAACCCCTGATGGTAGGATCTATGTTAGACACACTTTTGACCACAGAAAGCCAGGAGCTGTAAATGACATGTTAATCAGATAAACTGTTTTAGAAATGCCTTATAGATAGGGACCTACCTAAATTGTGGTGGAAGTGCACTGCATAGTGGCTCCTTTAATTTTTTTTTCACTGCTCTCCTCTCTTCACCCTGCGTGCCCTGCTCCTGATTGGCAGAGGGTCCCTGGTGGCCCCACCTCTTGCCACTGATTGGCTGGGAGGCAAAAACTGTGGTTTAAAATATGCCATGGTTTTGGCTCCTGGGTACTCAGCAGCAAGTGGCAGGGCTGTCAGGGCCCCTTGACCAATCAGTAGGAGGAGGCAAAAACTGCGGCATATTTAAAATTACAGTTTTTGCCCCCTGGCCAATCAACAGCAAGGTGGGAGGAAGAGGGACTGCCAGGCCCCTCCGCCAATCAGGGGTGGAAGGGGAACTGAGCATGTGGTGAAAAGAGCAAGATTAAAGGACCTATGCTTCTGCTGCAATTTAGGTAGGTTCCTACTTGTTAGGAGCTCTGTAGTGCTGTTGTAGGTACGATCATCCAGAAATATGTGATAAACAGGATTTTGGGTAATATATTTTACTTAACCAGCTGTATAGGTATGATATATGTTAGACAACCTTTTGGCCAGAAAGCCATTCCTAGGTCCAGGAAAGAAGCAGATACAGCTGAACCTGAGCTTTTACTTCCCTTTAAAAAAAAAAGGAAGGGGGCAGTAAACCTGAGGAGCAAAGGTAATTACAGGCCAGGTAAAGAGCAGGTGAAGTAGAGAAACCTAATTATGTAAAAGAATAGGACCATTTTAAAGGGAAGAATCTTGCTATTACCTACGGAGTACAGAGAGGTTAGTAGGAGTAGATTGTAATGAGCCAAAAAAACCTGTTGTGATAAGTCTGTGGTTTTTAGTACCCAGTAAAGTTATAAATTTTTTGTTCACAGGCCCATTTTCTGAAGTTATTGCATAAATGTTCCTTGAGAATAAGGACTCTGAGGTCAAGGATGAGGTGCTTATTCTGTGAAAAGTGTTCTCCCACTTGGAGTTATTTGTTTCTGCCATTTATCATTTTTCTTTGAGAATTCATTCTTCAGCATAGTGATGGTTTAGTTTCACTCCCTCACTTTCCATGGGTACATTTGATGCATTGATGAGATTTTGGGATGGGCATATGTAGGTTGCATAGATTCTGAGCATTTTATTTGTGGACTGTATTGATTGTGGTGATGGTAGAGAAATGTTAATTGGTTCTCCATTTATGATTTAGGCAGGGCCTTTTTCTGCTCGGTTTTGTTGATTAGTGAAGTGTATACTTCTGATGATTAATTTGGCAAAGTTGAGGGGTGCTTTGAAAACCAGGAATTGTGGGTTTGGGCATATTTTTCTCAAGATGTGATCCTTTCTGTGTTTAGATTGTAATTTTTCAATGATCCTTTTGTGGGTTCCTGTGTTGGATTGTATATGATCACCAGGGGTGGGTAGTTCATGGGTTTTTTGATTTGTATATGTAGTATCTGTTGAGAGTGTATCTGTTTCTTTCCCAGACCTGAGGAAGGGTATTTGGTACCTGAAAAATTCACTAGTATTTCTCCTAACTATATATGTGGTCCAGTTAAAGATATTACCAAAGAAATATTGCTTAAAGGAGCTTAACATTTTGATTGGGAAGTAGAGCTACCTGAAAAGTTTGATTATAAATTATTTTTGTGAAAAATACAATTCAGCTGACAGTGAAGACTTAGGGTAAAATTGTTGATTTTGATGAAAAAAATATTTTTCTGCAATAGCATTTTGAAAAAAAAAATTTTACTTTCTGATATGTAGACGTGTAGCTTCAGTAGTTCACTTTTGTCATTTCAACTTCACAAACTTATAATAGCATACTAAAGTAAAAAAAATCAATGTATTTTTGGTTCTACTTGACATTTCATTTAGGTATTTCATTTTAAAATGTTGAAACATTTACCCTTAATCTTTTCTTGTTTGAAATTTTTGGAACATTTTACTTTGCAAACATGTCAGTATTTTAATATTTTTGGTCATTGTCACCAGCAGTCTCTTGGCACGAGGATGACAGTCTTCCACTAAATGTAGTTATCAGTAAGTCTGTAGAGGACTGAAGAGGTGGATCCAAGTTTCACATGCTGAAATGCAGATGTGGCAAATAATTCTGGAAGGAAGGGGTAGATCCTTGTGGTGTTTGATCACATCTGTTTCCCTTTTTCTCTCTTGTCTGTCTGCCTCCATAGAGGCAAGTTTGCTCAAAATGGTTAATGCCTTTTTATACATCACAGCGTCCTTTTGCATGAGTCAGTGATTGAGTCTTCCAGGTTTTGACCATAATATTGCATTTCTTCAGATTGGCCTTCAAGGTGTATTTGAATCTCTTCTTTTTTCCACCTCTAGAGTAGTGACCATCAGTGAGTTGGGGATAAGGGACCTATTTTGAGAGCCAGTTGCCAGGCATCCCTATGACATGTACTGTCCAATAGAGCTAGTTTGTGTAGACATGGCTTTAATGCTGGTAGTGTTTGCTTGAGCCAGGGCACTGAGATTCATTCTTCTGTCCTTCCAGGAGAAATGGAGGACTTTCCAAAGACATTGCTGATGGTAATATTCCAAAGCTTTCTGGGGTTTTTGATGTCAACCAAGTTTGATACCAATACAACAGGGTAGGAATGACAACAACCTGGTGGATGAGTATGTTAGCAAATACTTGAATTAAGGTTGCTTGTACCTTATGGTATTAATTCTGAAATGCTTTTTAATTTAATGCTGTTTTTTCTACAAGGATTTCTACTTTATTCAGCACGCAGGATGGATGAAGCTTACTTATTTTCTGTTCTTTGTTTAATGTGTGGACTGATACCTTATTTATGGAAAACTCTGTTTTGGAGGTTTATTCATTTTGAGTCATAGCCTCTTTTTCTCTCCACCTGTGTTGCCCAGACCCAGTCTCATTTTTCAGCCAGTGAGTTTGTTTCCATCATGCTGGCTTCTACTCCCTATTGCTTCTACTCCCTGAAATGCTTTTTATCCCAATCTGTGCTCTTTCCTGCCCTCTGCATATAAATCAGGAAACTTTCCCTTCACATAGCTTGTGCCCAAGAGCAGGTAATTGAGAGTTGAGGTCAGAGCCTCTCTGTTCAGCTGCCTGGACCCAAACCCAGAATGATCCATAGCAGACCAGCCCTGCAAAAAGGTCTACTCAGCTCTTGCTCTGAGCGGCTCAGTGAGCAGTGGAATTTGCAGGGGATTTACTGTTGAAGAAGCTTGAGAAGCCTCAACTGAACATGGTTAAACTGCAATTTTTCAAAGATTTACTGCATTTATTCACACTCCTGATGCCCCCTGAATAAGATGCCCATCTAATTATGGGATGGCAGAATGAAGCAGATGAGATCTCCAGAGCCTGACCTGCCATGGCACAGGCGTATCCAGAGGATGAATATGCCAGCTGCATTGGGCAGGGGCAGAGTGCCTTCATCAGGATCAGTCCCTCCAACCCTCCGTGCTGCAGAGTCAACAGCTATTAGATTGTCTTCCTCACAGCCACTGCTCATTAAGCCCAAAGTCTTAATTCGGCAGTGGCTATGAGAAGGTTAAATCTGCAGATCTACAGCAGAGGAGGGTGGAGTGATGCTGATGAGTGGACTCTTGTCTTTGCTCTGTGTGGCCAGAGGATTCAGTTTAATTTAAAAGGGTTAGTTGGTGCCAAGTACAGCCCCAGCTGCCATTCCAACGCCCCACTGCCTCCATTCTGGTATTAAAATCATCTTCCTTTTTTAAGAAACGTTTCCCCATTTTGAATGGCTACTTCTTGGGGGAAAGGTGTGTGTGGTACGTGAGTAAATGTGTTATAATTTGGCTACATTTGGGCGGATTTACACAGTCATGGCAAAGGGTAATACTTCCTTCACACAAAAGTAAATTACTGGCCAAATTTCACTGGTGGTTCTAGAATGGTTCAAGGAATAGGTTGCTACATTTCTTAAACAGAAAAACCACATTAGGAACAGCTTGGGTTGTAATTTTCCAGAAAAATGCAACCAGAGGCAAACAGTGGAATACAAAATTTGGGCCCAGATAGCTAGATTCACAAAATTAGAAGCCATTTGAAGTGTTAGGCAACTTTATTAATAGGTAGCTCTATTGCTACCCAAGCTAATATTAACACAGGTACTCTGCGATAAATCATATTTTTGGTTTATAGAGAGGCCTGACTTATAGTTCCTTATCATTAATTAAAAATGCAGTATAGAATGTTGAGCCTGAAGTTGACTCTAAGCATTTTGTAGCTCAGAAAAGAATAACGTAATAGCCTGAATGCTGTGAGTTTTTTTAACATCTTTTTAAATTAAGCTGTTTTTAATGCTAACTTCCCAATTTATTTCACTGCCACCTTTTTTAAATCAAGCCAAACATATTTGCTTTTAGTGGCAGTGTGGAATGTCTAGCACCAGGTATTTCAGCAGTTTCAGTTGAGAGGTAAGGCCCTTTTGAGTCCCTAAGTAGATTGGCTGAGTTGGACTGGAGAAGTGACTGCCAGCTGTTTATGATTCATAGAATGTGTTGGAAATGTGTAGGAAAACAAGGCTGCCCTTGCACAGATTGTGCCATGAAACTATGATGCCATCTGTGAGCTTGCATTCCCTTTTTATGACTTTTTTTCTAGTTAGATCTGTTCTCAGATCTTTTACAGATTTAAAACAAAGTTAGAAGCATGGGTAATGCGGATGAAAGAAAAAGAAGAGGAACATAATGAATCAATGGGCGTGTCTACATGAGATGCTACTGTACAGTAGTTCAGTGCTACCGTACAGTAGCATTGTTTGGCACTAACCGTGATGCAGTGCTACTGCGCAGTAGTAATGGTATACTTAATTATATAAAAAATAGTTCCTGGGAAGGTATCTCCTTGTTTCCTGTTGGTGATTGTTTTCTGCTTTGAAGCATTTGAAATACAATGCCCTTGATAATTTTAACCTACGTAGAGCAGCTGCAGACTACACTTTTCATATTAGTAACTCTGGACAGCTGCTCTAAGATAGGGACTTCTGGGATTTTAAACCAGAGTGAGGTATCGTGTGGCTGTTGGGGATGGCTTAGCTATGGGTTCTGTCTTCACAGATTATAAGGACTTCTTTGTCAGATGTTTCCTTAACTTTCATGTTCTGACACAGGGATAGGCACATACAACGCTGTGTAGGAAGGCATGTATTAAAAACATGGGAAAACAGTTACTCAAACTTCATGTTAGAAAACTATATATCAGTATTTGGGTTGAAGAGTCACGAGCCAGCATTTAGAGTAGGGGTTGGCAATTATTTGGGTCCACAGGCCACATAGGCAGTTCTGGAGAGCTGCCTTAGGCCAGTCAGCACCCCTTCATCCCCCACCCAAAACAGCCCAGATCCTGCATGCTCTGGGTCTGCACTCCATCACCACCAACAATGTACAGGCCCAGCCCTGGCCTATGCCTGCTCTGGATTCAACTTGGCTGGAGCAGACTAACCAGGTCCCTCAGTCCCACCTGGCCAGATGCCATCTGGCCTGTGGCATGCGGCGCGGCTGAGGTGGCTCTGCAGCTGGACTGCCTTTCTAGGTAGCTTAAGTGGCGGTGACTCCTTCCGGCTGCTGCTGTAGCTGGCTCCAGCCCTGTGGTTACTGGCAGGGACCTGCGCACACAACCCTGACCCTGGTCCCATCCCATGCCCACTGCGGACTTGCCCCAGCAGAGCAGACCAGCTCTGGACCAGCCAGAACCCATGCACACAGCCCCGACTGGCTCGCTCCACACCTGCTCCAGACTCACTTGCCCATGCCCAGGCAGAAGCTGCTGCTCTGCGTGGGGGAAAATCAGCTGCTTCCTCTTCGCTGTGGGGCTGTTCTTGTTGCAGCTGCCCAGAGCTTGCGCCTTGGCTGCCCTACAGCTCCTCTGCACTGCCACTGCTGCCTTGCTGGGCAGCCTGGTGTTACAGTTTCATGAATTGTACTGGATTTCATGAATTTCATGGATTTCTGCTACTGTTGTGTCAAAGTGATTAGCAGTATGACTCTCTCCTTTTTTGAGCACAGTATTATGAGTAATGATACAACTGTTTGCACACTGTTTGCATATGATTTCAAGTCATTTTAAATTATGCAGAAAGCAGCAAGAGGGTTCTTTTCACAGCTGGAATAATTTTAGTGGTTTTTTCTTAGCATCTTGTTGATACTGTTTTCATCATCTAATACTGCTCAAAGAAAGGGGAGACAGGCAGCTTCAAGAGCTTCAAAGAACCCTGCATAGACATTGAACCTTCTAGGATAATGTTCTCAGTCTGGATGCTTACCGTGCATACCTTAGAAACTCTTGCATCCTTGTGGAGACCCAAAGACAAGTTCATGCATCTTGTGTCAACTTGTAGACTTTTAAACTTTAAATTTTAAAAGAAAGGACATTTCTTTTATATCGTTTATATATTTTATTATAATTATGAATATTTTTTCACAACTTTTAAGGGCAATATGAACAAGAAGAGCTTTCTTATAATTGTTGTAATTTGTATCTATTGTTTAATATATTTTATATGTCATGCATTATAGTAAAAGGATCTGTATCCTATTGTGTTAAGAGGTGAACATAGAGATAACTATGAACTGTATTGAAGAGCTTACAGTCAAAGCATTTGTGCTATATAGATGACTTTAAACATGCAGCCATACAAGCTGCATTGTGGAGATGCATATACAAATTTTGTTGGAACCTTCAAATCTGATTAAGTTTTAGCTAATGAAATAAAAAGTTGATAATTCAAAATGTCTTGGTCTGCTAAATGGATATATTTCTTGGCTGCATCATGTTTAAAATCATGACTTTAATACAGATATATAGTGTTTTATTGTGAATACCCTCTTCATTTTTATCTACACAAATATTTATGTATATCATATGTGTCTAACTATTTAGAAACACAGCTCTATAGATAAGACACAGCACAGTCAAGTCCTTTGTCCTGTCTGGTCTTCATTTATTCCTGAAGGTAGGTTTGTACTGGTTATAGTTCACCTCCTGTCTCCTTTGGAAGAGCCTGCAAACTCTGTCTGTTAGGGAAAAACTTGGAGAAAACAACATGTAAAGCTTTAAGCAAACCTTTCTCCTTCCATTCAGTTTTCTTTGGAAGAAAAAGTTTTGAAATTATGAATCAGGTGCTTGAAGTGATCCTAATTTGGTTTCATGGTTTAATTTGTCAGCAGGTCTTTCTCCTTGTTGGGTGTGAAAGCATTTATTTTTTCATAGCCAAACACTCTGTTGGATGCACAAAACAGCTCTGATTAGCTGTATTGATGTCTCTGAGTTTTTTTGATAGTAGCAAGTGATGGTGTGTATGAAGGGACTATATCATCTATAGTAATTGGTGGCAGCTATACAGCTCAACGCATATCACACACTGCACATCTAGGAGAGAAAAGTTGGGCAAGGACACTACGTCAATCCCCATATTCAGTTATAAACTCCTGGGTGGTCTTTGTGTCTATCAAGAACAAATAGTAATGCAAGTCTCCTCTGAGAGGCCCTCACAAACATTCAGTCACTTGAGAAAATGGTGAGCTAGATTGTCACCATTGGATTCAGACATGAGAATCCACAGAACCTGTGTATGTTGCTCTTGATGCTGAGATCATAAGGCAGCCCTTGTGATGTCTTTAAGAGTTACATGTGTTGTAACAGCTCTTTGTTATAAAATAAACAGTCTTCTCTAGTTGGCTTTTTGTGAATATTTATATTTGCCATTGCCAAAAAACAGGCTGTTTTAGATAAATATCATGTTTGGGGTGATAAACTTAAAATAATAGAAACAGAAGTTATTAAAACAACTTTGTCTCCTTTATTTACAGTACAAACCCTGGTGTCTCATGACTTATGGAATGATAGCCTGCTGGTTTCTATTAGGAATCAAGGGCTTGGCGCTGATTTTGCTGCATATATTTATTTCATTTTCTGTGGCCCAATTCCAAATGTCAATCCTGACATGGCTGTGCTCACTTCTTTTGTTGTCGACTTTGCGCATACCAGCTTTGGAAGAAGCAAAGGTAATTAATTATGTTAGTGTGATTAAAGTATACTTATGTATCATGACTTTGGATAGTATTTTATTGCAAAAAGAGTAATAAAATCACCTTCAGGTTTGTTGAAACAGAGGTGCATTAAAAAAAAGTGGTAAGATGCAGTATCTCTTACTAAACCTTTTGATTGTAGCATCTTATTTTGAAGTTGTAATATCACCTTCTGGAGAGCTCCCTCCAGTGGATACTATATAGTATCCACTGGAGGGATCCAGTATGCATTCTGAAATGCTGTTTAGCCCTGAATAGTAAGTGATAACTAGTGTGATGAGCAGGGATCCTGTTTTTTTCTGTTTACAAATCCAAAATTCTCTGATAAAAATTTCAAAAATTCCCTGATTAAAAACCTCAAAATCTGTGTTTTTATGCAATTAAACTGAAATGCCACGATATACGCAGTTATCAGTTGAACACAATGTTTTATTGATCTATTTACAATTTTAAAGCGATTTGGAAGCCTACCAGTGCCTCAATCATTATAATGAAACAAATTATAAATACCTATAAATTTTAGCATTTGATTTTGGGTTTTTTATCATGAGAAAATCAGAGCCCCTCCTGCCCCCTTCGCTCACCAGGAAGTGGGTCCAGCTGTGGCTGCCTCCCCCTCCCCCCCGCCCCCGCTTTGTGGTGCTAAGTAGCCCTGATTATCTCTGTGCCCCTTGCTCTCAAGCCACAGCCAGCCCAGCCCTGCCAGTGCCCCTCACTCCTGACCTGCTGCCCCCCTGCTCCCAGGTCCCGCCCCCCGTGTGTGGGGAAGGTGGGGGTGTGCAGGGCAATGGCAGGATGTGGGGCACAGGGGGTACCCTACCATAGGCAATGTGCTATGGTACACATAGCACATTGGGCTGGGGGGGCATGAGGGGACATATGCCCCCTTGGATTGGTGCGCCCACAGCAGGGCATGGGGCTGCAGCCTGGCTGGACTGGCACTGCGGCCCATTGGGTGGGACCTGGCATGGGAGGGCAGAGCGGGGCAGTGAGACTTGTTGCTGCTGCTGCTGTTGCTGGCACTGCCACCAGAACCCCCAGACCAGCTGTGCCACCATGGAGTAACACCGCGCTGCCAGCAGCTCAAAGAGTAATGAACTGGGGGGGAGGAGTACCTCCTCCCACCGCCAGCTGCTCATGTGCTGGGCCGCAGCTCTACTCTGCCGCTATTGCTGCTCCCCTCAGGCCGCCCACACTGCCCCCACCCCACCTCCCCTCTGGGGCAGAGCTGAAGCCTGGTGCATAAGCGGCTGGTGGCAGGAGGAGGTGATGGCAGTACAGTTTGAACCCCACCCCCTCAGTCTGTTACTCCCTATGGTGCTGACAGCATGGCATTAATCCATGACAGTGTGGCTGGTGGCGAGTCCTGACAGTGGCAGCAGCAATGAGTCTTGCTGCCCTGCTCCACCCTCCTGCACCAGGACAGGTAGGGCAGATAGTGCTGGGCAGGGTGGATAGAAATTGCAGACAGCAGAGGCTGCAGCGGGGGCAGAGGCACCACTAGGGGACAAGGCAGCAGGGGGGACAAGTGTTGAGGAGTCAAGGGAGGGTCAGGCCACTTGTCCCCCCACTGCCTGTCTCCCCACTGCCTATCCCCTACCACTTGCCCTCCTGCTGCTACTTTCCCTCTGTAGTGGGGGAGGGAATTTAAAACTTTCTAATTTTTCCATGTATGGAATCTAATAATTTGGGGGAGGGCCTCTTTACTTCAAAGTCATTTTTGATTAGGGAAATACACTTATTGCAAACCACTGGATTTAATCCACTGCTGAAGGCAGGAATGTCCCAGTCAAAATTATTCCAGAAAAATGTTTGTCTAACTTGCCTTTAAAAATGTAGAGTGACAGGGATTCTACAGCTTCTTTCAGTAATCTGTTCCAGTGCTGAGTTGGAAAGTTCTTCTTAATATCTAACCAAAATCTCCCATGTTTCAGTGTAGGCCCATTACAGCCCCATCAGATACAGAGAACAAATGATTGCCACTTTTTTACTATATTTATTTGAAGGCTGTTATCAGGCATGCCCCCCTTCAGTTTCCAGACTTTTCTAGACTAAAACTTCCTCGTTTTTCTAACTTCTTCTCATATGTCAATGTTTTCTAGACCTCAGATAATTTTTATTGTTCTTCTCTAGATTCTTTCCAGTTTGTCCGTGTCTTTTTTTAAAGTTTGGTGCCTGTACTGGACACAGTACTTTAGGTGAGGCCTCACCAGAGTTGAATGGAGTAGAAGAATCCCTTCCCATGTCTTGAATGCTACACTCCTGCTAATACATTTTAGTAAGCTGTTATCTTTTTTTTTTGCCACTATATTACACTGGTGACTCAGTTTACAGTTCACTATATCCTTCCTCCTCCTCCTTTCCTTACATCCATGGTCATTTTCTGTATTACTGCAGCCCAACCATTCATTGCCCATTTTGTATACGTACATATTATTGTTCTGTCCTAAGTGTAGTATTTTGCACTTACTCTTATTGAATTTCATTTGATTTATTTTGGACCATTTTTGTAATGTATCAAGGTCGTTTTGAAACCTGCTTCTGCCTTCTACAGTGCCTGCTACCCCACCCAGCTTGATGTGATCTGCAAAATTAAGATATGTACAGTCAATTCTGTTCCCCAAGTCATTACTGAAGATACTGAATAGTACTGGACCCCTCACAGTCTCCTGGGGAACCCCAATTTATACTTCTTCCAAGTTAGATGTTGAACCATTGATGACAGTTCTTTGTGCACAGTTACCCAACTAGTTAGCAGTTTGATTCAGACCCTACTTCCTTAGATTAATGGAAAAGATATTAGATTCAAATGAAATGAATATATTATAGCAGGTAAATTGGAAAGGATTTCCTGGGTTACTGTATACTTGTACAAGGTGAAGCGAGCAGGCAACGTCTGAATTTACCCATGACCTGATATATGTCTAGACACCTACAGATCTGATGGTTTATTTTCATCTGTCACAGAGAGACCCATTTGTGATTTTTTTATTTGCACATTCAGATGACAAATGACTTGTTAAATATCAACAAGATTATCAAGATTTTTTGAAAATCTTGCCACTATTTGAAAGTATTAAAAATTGACTTGCAGAATGAAATAAGGATTAAATATGTGGCATAAGAAGAAAAGTAGTAGGAACAAAGGGAACAAAATGTAGGGAACAAAGGAGCCCCCCCTTTATATCACTTTCGTTGATCTGATTAAGGCCTTCGACTTTGTCAACGGAAAAGGCCGCTTCAAAGTATTGGAAAAGATTGGCTGTCTACTGGATCTCCTCAGCATAATCTACTCTTTCAGTGATGGAATAAAGGGAACATTAAGCTATGATGGATCAACGTCTGAGGTTTTTGAGATTTGAAGCAGAATCAAGCAGGGTTATATCCTTGCTCTAACTCTCTTTTGAACCTGGAGCTGGTGTTAGCTGGCGATGATACAGAAAGCAACCTTCAAAGCCTCTCTAGTCACTTCACTCATGCCTGCCAAGAGTTTGGTCTTGCAGTCAGCATCAAGAAGGCCAGTGTTACGGATCAGAACACCTGCAATCACAATAGGTGAAAATGTATTGGATGTTGTAAGTAATTTTACATGCTTCGGCTCCGTTGTTATCAACATCTTGTTACTTGAGGCTGGATTGAATACCTATATTGACAAAGTATCAGGTATCATAAGCATGGTGAGTAAATAGATGTGGAACAGCAACAAACTGACTGTTAAAACCAAGGTCAAAGTATGTCATGCATGCATCATCAACACTTTTGTACACCAGTGAATCTTGGACCACAACTCTACTCAAGTAAAACACATTTACAGTTTTCACTTACATTGCCTTTGCTTCATTCTAGGAATTTTCTGGTGAGACAAAGCTGACTACGCTGAGGTCTTAGACTATGCCAGCATTCCAGGCATCCATTCGCTTCTTGACTTCAGTCAGCCTCAACTTTAATGGCTTGGTTATATGTGGAGAATGGACAGTGGCTATATACCCAAGGATCTCCAGGGATATCCAGTGGCTGTTTACCCAAGGATCTCTTGCATGGCAGAGGGTCAGACTTGATGATCTGCTCAGGTCCCTTCCGACCCTACCAACTATGAAACTATGAGAACTCATTACAAGACAACCAGGTGGGCATCCTGCTCTCCATTTCAAAGATGTTTGCAAGAGAGATATGAAGGCAATGAACCTTGAGCCAAATAATTGGGAGAAGATTGCTGCTGAGGAATAAGACCCTTAGAAACAGTTTATTAAGCATGGAATGAAAGTTTTCGAGGAAAGAAGAAACCAACATTCAGAAGAAAGAAGAAACTTCAGGAAGAACCCCGCGCTACATGCATGACTTGGATATGAATGTTGCGTGTAATAAATGTGGAAGGGACTGTCACTCAAGAAACTCACAGGTGTTTAGTGAGCTGATGCCTCACTGCACAAATCAATTGTCTTGCAGGACAGACAGATGCCTATTTAAATGAAGGAAAACAGGAAAAAAATTGGGCTTTCTTTTTCTCATCTAAACTACTGTATTTTTTTCCTGTTCTGGGCATATGTAAAAGTTATTTTCTAAACTCTTAAACAGCAGGCCTTATTAATGGCATGCAGAATTATATTACTGCACTGGAAGAGTGGGACATCTCCAAAGGTCAAAAGCTGGTACAATGAGATGGCACAGCTGGAGTTTGTGGAGAGAATCATGTTTATCAGTCTTAACTGCTGGGAAAAGCTTACTTTAATTTGGCAAGAGTAGTCAGATTATTTTGGTAATTAAAAAATGATTCCTTGTATACTTTTTTCCTTCTATCCCTTCTCCTTACTGTTTCCATTTCTCTTTTTCTTTTTCTCTTTCTTCCTTATTGTAACAGACATGTACATAGTTCATATATAGTTGATATCTAAATACACATGCACATTTGATTTGTGTATTACATTTAAAAATTAATAAAAAAAAATATTTTCAAAATTATTTTCTCAGATATATAT